TGCAAACCCCAACCATTTCCACAGGTTTTGCTGGGAGCACACTGAGAAGACTTTGGGCTGTTTGTTCTATACCTGCCCCACGTTCCATTGTCTGCAGTTCTGACTGGGCTGCTGCAGTTCTCTGTGCAATTCACTTGGAACATGAAAATGACAGAATAACTGAAATTTTGGGTTGATGTCTCTCTCTCTAGAAAACCACATTAGTCAAGAAAAATGATCTAAGTGATGTTATTTACTGTTTTTTAACACGTGCAGGCCCCTGTGCCTTCAATAAGACACCCAGCAAGCATTAAAAGCTGCTTTTGCCGGCGCTGTAGAGCAGATGCATCCAATTAAAGCCATTAATTCAACGACCAAAGCCGAAGTACTGCAATCTAGAGCATCAACCCAGCACACACAGCAACAATCAGCATCTGCCAAAATCCCACCACAGTGATCCCCACTGCCGGGGTCGGGGGAATGGGCTCCAACCCTGCCAAGGGGTTACACAAAAGCTGAGTGTCCACACACAAAACTTGTTCAAACATCATGTCTCCTGAACAGAAACATTCCTCTGAATTAAACTCTTCCACCTCACGAAAGCAGCTCAATCATAAATGAGGGAGCTGAGGAGGAAGAGATGAACAAACACAGAACACCCGAATCGCACTTGTGGAAATCCTGTCACCCTAAGGAAGGTCCCAAATTCCCAGGTGAGATTTGGTTTCTTACAGAAGATTGTACAGATTTGGATAAAAATCAGAAACTCTCTGACTGGACACGAGGCCTGTTCAATGAGATGTGCTGCTTACACTCGTCCAAAACCAGGTTTCTCCTCAGTCCCTCAGCCAGGCACCGTCCCCATCGTGCAGCAAACACTGTGCTGGGAACTCGAGCACCCCCAAACCTCCTCACTGGATCAAGCAGAGCTGCCTTGCCAGCGCTGGAATGAACCAGATACATTCCTGCTGCATCTCCAGGAAGCTCCAGTCGTGCACACATCCCTCACCTTCAGATCTGGCAGATCTGTATTCCAGACGTGCTGCTTTGGAACGAGAACACAAATCACCTGTTCTGTCAAAACGAGCTCTCCTGGTCATCCTTGCACTCCATGGAAATGCACTAATCCCATTAAAATGCAATAATCCCATTATTTAGCTAGGCATGTACTTTAAAATAAAATGAAATTTAAAAAAAAAAAAAGCACAAAGCTTGAGTTCTACAGATCCACCCTCTTGCCTCCAAACCACAACACCGGTGAAGGCAACTATTCACTGCTAAAACAGGGGAGCAAAGACAGGAGGAAAACAGGAAAACAGAGAAAACACACCATATAGAAAATGTCAAATATGTCAAAACATTCATGAATACCAACATCTCCCTCTGCACCGTCCCCAGCTGCAAAGGTTACTTAGGGCTAACGTTTCAGCAAGTGCAGATTATGCAGCGCTGGGTTTACTTATACATAAAAAAAAATCAGCTACAGGTGCATCTGAAGTGCCTTTTGCACGCAGCCAGTCCGGGGATTTCTCCCACTGAAGGAAAGCCAGGAGGGCAAAAACCACATAAAACATGAATTTGCCAGCTCTGACTACCCCAGACCTAAATTCCCCCTGGCTGCTCCCGGTGTTCCTGACACGTGCAATGAGGATAATCAGGGAAAGGACTAAAAGTAAGTGTTGCTGACTGCAACCCCAAACTAATAAAGCTCCTGCACAGGTCTCGTGCCTGCAGCAATTCATCTCCGGGAAAGGCGGGTTCAGAACACGGCGTGACACTTCCCTGTCCCCAAGTCACTGACGGAGAATGATATGGGAATTATATCAGCCCAGTTTTATGGGACTGGGAGCACAACACGGCCAGGACAACGTGGCATCGTCCAGGCCCTCGGACAAACGGAGCTGAAATTAAATGTCACAAGTGGAACGCGGCAGACTGTGCGAGCAAACACCCGACCTGGATCCGCCCCAGTTCGCCTGTCGAGTTTGGAAATCTTGGCATGTTTGGGGAAATTGTGCCTCGGTGTAACCTCCTCATCCATCAGCACCAGGAGGAGAAAGGTGCCCTGCTCTGCCTCAGCAGTGAGACCCTCCCTGGCTGAGGCTTCACTGGGAACACAAGTGTGACTCAGACAGAGCAAGCAGGCTCCATTCTCACATATCAGTGCATCAGAGGAGCAAGTCTGTAGAAAATAGTGCAATTGTACTAGCAAAAAAAAGTTGGGTTCAAATCATCCCAGTGGGCTGATGACAAACCACAGAACCTGACCTCCCCAGGGAACAAACCAGGACAGGTCTGGCTGCTCCTCACACCAGCCCAGCAGAACGAGCAGTAACAAATTCCAGCAGCAGCACAGAGCTAAAATAATTAAGATAACTATTGATCTGGAATACTGCAAGCCTGGAGAAGTGAAATCTTTTAATAAATCCTCCCATTGATACCACCAGTTAAAAATTATTCCTTCAGCTCCACATTCTGCTTCGAGCTCCCAACTCCAAACATTTTTCTGAATGTCTCTATACAGTACTCAGTGTTTCTTCCCTGCTTCCTTGCTGTCCTTCCCTGAGCCTGCAGAACGGGGAAAGCAGCGGACCCAGGGAGCACAGAGCCTCCAGCAGCCCTTCCCTCTCCAGCCTGCCCTTTAAACAAGCCCCCCCGGGCCCCTGGAAGCGTTCCCTCCCCGTGTTCCCAGCCCGAGCCCACCTGGATGCCCGTGCCCAGGCAGGCAGGGTCCCTCCAGCCGCTGATCCACACAGGGCTCCTCTGCCCGGCCACCCTCCGAGCCACGGACAGGGCAGGAGCCCACCCGGGGGGCTGAGGAGAGGGGGAAACACAGGGGAAGAGGGCATGGCTGGGGGTAAAAGCCGAGGCAGGTGCGAAATGGCTGCCTGGGAAGGATAAATCCTCCTCTCCCCAGGTGCAGAGGGTTAAACCTGTTAGAAAAGTTACTGCAGAAGACGCTGAGGCAAGTGGTGGAAGCAGCTGATTTTGGGGGAGAATTGGGAGCAGGTGTGGGCATATTTAAAGGGAGGTCGAGTTGTTAAATCCTTTCTATAAACAGGTGTGCTTTTTTCCATTTAAAAACCCTTCTAAAGCATAGACATTTACACTTCTGTATCTACTCACACATGTTTAGGGAATATCTATATTCCATATATATTATCTAGGTTAAAGTCACAACGACTCCAATCCCGTGTCCTTGGCAATCCCAAGCTCAAAACCCCGCTCAGCATGAATTAGGCAGCACCTAACTCTACCCCAGCCCCACTCGCTGCCCCCCGCACCCGCCTGAGGTGGGACCGACTCTTAATTCTTCTTACAACTCTTTATTTTAGGAATTTTTCT